ATGAGCCAAGACTCAGACCTCCTCGATTAGCTGAAAAAGAGATGAGCAGCATGAGGTGAGAGTTGCTGAATGAGCAGCATGAGTTGAGAGTCCATGAGTTGATTGATGAACCTCCCTTAGTTAATGAACTAATTAATGCACCAATTAGAACTTATTCTGGGTTGTATGGGCTCGGGTTAACTGGGGGAGGGTTCTGGTACCCAACTGGATCATTACTGGGGGAATAATTTGGGCAACTTCTGGTGGCTTTGTGAGCTCGGATTAACTTTAGGAGGTTTATTATCGTTACTTTACATTAAGCACCAACCACCCATGGCATGTTTGCATGAGTTGAGCCTCCAGACATCTCAAGCATAGCCTAATGTACGCTGTACGCATACCATGGCATACGTGTGCATGCGTATACATGTTTGTATATAATGTATATATATATACATCCCATACATGGATCTTTGGGAAGCAGCCCCAAGATGTCGACATCGCCAAGCTCCCAGCAGTTCCTTTCTGCACGTCGAAACCTTTTTTGCTGAAGTTCCTTGCTAGGAACTTCCCAACATGGAGCCCAGTGTGATGCTACGTTTCATGCAGTCAAATGACCATTTTTTATGTGATTGCTGATGGTCGAACAAAAAAATATGTGAGCCAAAACCAGCAGTTTGTATTTCAGGCGATTGCTCCACCTACTATCCAAGATCATGACCCTACAGGTCCGAAGACCCAGTGAAACCTGGTCCTTTTACCTCATGGAGCAGTGTTTTTGCGCAAGCCAATCCAGTAAAATGAGGCCTTTGACCTGCAGGGTGAGTCAGTATCCACGCAATTTGGCAGCAGAAGGGGGGCCAAATCTAGCCTTGCTACCAAGTTGAAGTGACCTGTCTTTCAATTGATATTTTTCAGATTGGTGACATAACCGCCCACAGCCCTCATGTGGCATGTTCCCAGTCTAGCTGCCACCCGCTCCAGTCTAGTGCGGTGTGTTTTTCAAGAGACTGTAACCGCCCGCTCCAAAAGAGGCCGACTGGTCCCTGAAAACCATGCAAAACCGCTGACACTCCGACTCACTAACATGGAAGTGGAGTCCACGGCCATTGGGTAGATAGTGCTTTCCTCTACACACAGGGTTTTCCACTTCGGTGATAGTGAGTCAGAGTGTACTTCGACCTTGGGTCCCTCCATCTTGCTACGGTACCCCGGTCGACCAGTGGCCGAGGCCTCTCGTCGGGGCCCAACCGTCGAGGCTGCGGACGGAGGCGGAACAGTCGGGATTGAGTCGGGATGCAGATTGTTTCAGAGTAGATTGCACAAACCCAAACATGTCTTGTAGATGGGGATCCGTAGACCACCGAACTTGGGGAATCGGACCATCAGGTTCAGCTGATTTTCAGAGTGCTAGGGTGCAGTCTCTATCTACTGAACCTCATCATCCAAAGGAAGTCTCCAATTCCAGCATAGGGTTGACCTGCAGAAGCGAGGAACTTGCGCGTGAAACATGTGAGTTGCACCATGTTGGCAAGTCCCCCTGCTACCAACAATGAACCCATGGCCAGCAGAGGTGAGGGAAGACCATCTTCCAAGATTTAGCCTGTTGAGATGATTCGATACATTGGTCGTCTAGACAGCACAGTTGATGTAGATGGATAGTTGAGGATTAATTGATATTAATTGGTTGGGCAGCAAGTCCGGTACCCGCCTGTTTGGGTCCCAATACAGCCGGTTGCGCCAAGACCCTTGGTATGAGTTTGATCATGTTTGATCTACCTCACCTGCCATGTCCAATGGGCTAACGATACGATTCGGATGCCAGGCTCGACTTTTTCGAGTCAACTCCGCCATTGGCGTCACTGGTCGCGTATGTCCGGCCCAGGGGCCGTCACGCTGACGATGTGACGGCCGTCCCATGAGACGAGACTTGGAGGAAGCCGGCGCTGCTGTGGAGACTGGTGTTTTGCTTTTAATTTTAAGGTCTCTGGAGCAATTTTAGAGAATTCTTGACCCCAAAAAGCCCGACCCGAACATCCCAAACCGAGGAAGCAATAGGGTTGGGTCGACCGATCCCTGCGAAGAGGGAGAAGGTCTGTTTGGATTGTTCAATTGTTTAGAGGAGGGTGTTCTTTGGGCCAAAAGCCTGGCCATACTGGACAGCTGATACATGTCCACCTGGTTTGTTGTTGGGCTGACTGTGAGTCATATACCTCATATATGAGCTCTCATGATTGGTTTGGGAAAAGCCAACACGATGAAAAACAAGAAGACACGCACACATCTACCAGCCGAACAACCACTCTTCGTCACCACGTATGTATACATACGTCACACCCTTTGAAAGCTGCCAGCTAACAGAACGACTTAAGATATCTTAAGATATAATGTATACTTGCAGCACCCGAAACCTGCCAGGTCACCACCTGCCACTTCTATAAGTCTCCCAAAGCCAGAGGAGGCCTCTAAAGTCGGGTTGCCGCTCATGACCACTACCACCAGCTCCGAGGCCGGATCAGGCTTGGGGTGAGGTTCGGGATCGTGCTGATCCACCGGTAGTGTTGTGCTGATCTGCTATCATATCTAAAAGTCTCTGGGGTTTTCCATGACAAACTCATTGGAACGATGACATGATCAGATCAGGAACCATAGGAACCCTTGAGCCATAGCAAGGCTCGGACCTTCTCCGACGCTTTGGGATCCGGACACCACACAGATCCACCTCGCCGTCCACCGCGCGTCACCGCGCCGTCCTGAGGAAACTTTGGCCGTCACTATTCCCACCAGCCGCGCTCAGAGCGTGCCGCAGCGCTGCGCCCCTCCCAGCGCAGCAGGTCGGGGAGGATCCCAGCGCTGCGCCCCTCCCGACGGATGGGAGCCACTATATGGGTTTCTGGGAATTCAGTTGAACATGGTCTGACGGAGGATGACACGAGCTTCAGGATATCCTGAAGCCAAGGAAGGAAGGAAGATATTTGAGGTCCATCCTGATCCGATCCACCCTAAACATCGGTAAATGTCAAGTTCAAGGTTATCTCATCATCATCATCATCATCATCATCATCATCATCATCATCATCATCATCATCATCATCATCATC